CTTGCTATGGGTTCCATACGATTACCATACTTGATTGCTGGTATGTCAGATGGGGCAGACGTCCTCCCAAGGAGTGCATCTAGTACACTGCGCGACACGGTGGAGCCAGCCTTAAACTTGTCTGCCATAACCATGACTGGTCGTGCCATGGAGGCTGTTATTCTGCCTACCCGTTGTTGCTTCCAGGTGGGGTTGGATGACTGTGATTTTGTGGCCTTAGCAAGAGCATCTACTTGTTCTGTGTTAAATGTTGGTAGTGATGGAAGAGTCACCAAGTCCGGGAGAGGTAGTGGTACACTCACACATGTCTCTAGCTCTACTACGTCTTCGACTTTCATGTCATGCTCAGTGGGAAAAGCAGCAGTTGCTGTTGGCATGCCATATTTGAAAGCACAGGCACCTTTGCTTGACACATACAAGTCTGACATGAGTTCCTCCAAGCTTGGTTTTGACCTTTCCCCCGTAGGTTTGAACAGCTTTCTTGCTGTGGTGTTGATGGGTGGTCTGTCTTTCCCTTTGGACCAGTTGGGGCTACGCCACTCCATGTCCTTGATCTTCCGTGCGTCGGTGTTTGCGTTCTTCCTGGGCTTGGTCCATTCTGCTGGTTTTGATGTACAGGACTTGTTTGTGACCCCGGTTGCCCATGCGTGGTCCATCTTGAACAGGACACCTGCAACATGGTTGCATGTGGATCCTAAACTGTAAAAAAAAATATTTTGAGTACTATTAAACATTTGTCCTGACTGAGTTTGGATTATATTATCAACTGAACATGAAATAAAAAATACAAGTGCCATTACAATATTCTGGAGGACTAATTGCAACAAGTATAGTATAGTACTAGTGCATATTTAAGTACTAGTGCCATTGTCCTAGCTGGAACTTAAAATGGTCCAACATGCACTTGCAAATGAAAAAAAAATAGATTTCTAAAAGTGCTTGATTTAAATGTTTATTGATGTTTTCGCACTATATGCTATACAATACATGCAGCTATGTTAGTCCACTACTTTGTAAGTCATTCAATTATTTGCCATGTAATAAAATGTCTATTGATGTTTATACAATACATGCAGCTTATGTTGGCCTACTACTTTGTGAACTGTCTGATTATTTGCCCTATAAGAAAAAAATACATAATTTGTCAATATTACCCAGCAAAGCAGCTGCAGTACGCTGTCCGGATTTTCCCAGTTGATTTTTGGAGTGCGACCCACACTCGGTGTGCCTCATCATTTTTTCTCTGTGATCTGCCACTGGTTGATTTTACAAAGCAAACATTTGAATTCTCATTTATTGGATGATACAAAACTTCATTGATGAAGCCAGAATCAAAGTACGAAAATGCTTTGCCATCCTTGTAATCCCCCATTAGCCTCTTCTGCAGCTGTACCTCTCCATTAGCCACAAGGTACTCTGCCATGTCCCCATACATAGTTGGTGGCCAGTGCTGCATCCCTTCTTCCTCTTTCTTCCAGCCACTTTTCAGGTCAACAAAGGGGTCGGGGAGTTGTCTGCCATCGACAGTCAAAAGTGATCTGTAGTCTTCGCATCTAACAAAATAAACACTATGGTGTAAATTTGTTATTTATTGTTACTATTTGATTTGTTACCGTTATCAATTGATCGTTTTTTTTTCAATTACTTATTGTTATTTATTATTACCATTTGATTTGTTACCATTATTACAGTTGTCAATTAATTTAGTCTGGGGAAGGTCACGGACAAGCCATTATGGCTTCTTATCTTTCCCCTACATATCCTATTTTACTGTAATATGTTAATTTTATTGTTCTTCTATCTGATTATATGCAAATAAACAAACAAACAAACAAGGTCAAAGGCACTGTCGGGAGGCGGGGGTAGATCGTAAAACATGTATTGTTTGCGAACTCCGTTCACGAACATCTCGATGTGTTCGAGCTCTTGCAAGATCTCGAGAAAAACAACGCGTACCTCGCGAGAGTAGCAGTGGTGGCGAACACGACTAGGAGACCGTAATATTCGCAGAAAAGCAGGAAGTTGTTGTACGTCCTGGCGGAGCAGGCCAGTCATTTCACAGCAGGTGTGCGATCGGGTTGCCCGTCGGGTATATATACCCGGCCGGCCCCTGCCGGGCTCTGGGCCTGTGGTCTTTTGGGCACCGGCTGCTGTGGTTACAATTAAAAGCTACCTTCACGCTGACCTGCAGGGGTCCCGATGCTCCCTCATTGGTCGGTCTCCGGCAGGTACCCTTAAGATGCTCTGACGATGTCCTGTAGTGACCCATGAGACAGGGTAAGGCCCCTGGTGGGCACTCGTCATATTTCGGGGTATATAAATAAACCCTGCTCGGATCATTTACATTTACTCAGAACTTTCTCTTAGAAGACTGGAAGCGAAAATAATCATCGACGCAGAAGATGCAAAATTCGTAATAAATGTTTACCGGTGGGCTGCCGGCAACCGGCCGGATACCCATCGGTATTCTTACGGTTAGGTCACGGCGTCTTTTTGTCAGCGGGCCCTAGGTAGAATTTTAGAAATCAGAACTACATTCTTCTAGGGTCCCCGCCAGGCCCCAAAATAGCAGGGAGTCGCAGAATTTCTTATGGGGTCACGCTTGAAAGTGCCAAAAAAACAGCCCCGGAACTACGCGACAGGACCTTTTTTTCCAATAAAGACCAAAGCTACACTAGGGAGCTACCATATGACAGAGCTCTTATGAAAGTGAGAGAAAACTGGTCCACACACTGATCACCGTCTGTGTAGTGGAAAGCAGAATGACACTATCATTAAAAAAAACATCGGTTTTAACGGAGAGTTTAGGCGCTACAGCAAAGACCACATTAATATATGAGGCTACTAAAATATTCTCTAAAACAAAATCAGGAACCTCTACAACCATATCGGCATTCACTCTGTCCAATACACCATCTCCAGGTACATTTAATCCTTGGCAGTATACCTGATTTCTGTTATAATATTTACTTTCGCCAAAAAGGTTATGTTTTAGTAGCGTTTGCCCATCTGTCTGTCTGTCTATGAACTGAAATCAAGAAGTATAATATGCATTGTCATGAAACCTGGTAGGTGGTTAGGTCTTGATGAGACCTACAAATTTTGGACCATAGAAACTCGAAGTAACAAAAGAAACTCGAAGTACAAACGTACACACAAGAAAAAAATGTACCTATGGTCTTTAGTAAGATAGACGTCATTCACACCCTATACGCATTCACACTAAAGATATAAAGGTTAAATGTTGTGAAAAAAAGTTCCTGGGTTCACATTTGCTTACAACTCAAAATGGATAAAGCAGGTCCAACTCTGGGTCTAGTTTTGCGTATCTTAAGGCATTTCGTATCATACCGCCATGCTGCCATTTTCGTTGTGTTCGGTACTGCACTGTTGGTGTTGTGGCAGTCGACCGTTCTGTTCACTAACGGTTTCACTCATTTCTTTACGCCGCGAAGGTAAATTTTATCATTGAGCCTAGGTTACCAATTTTTGTTTCAATTATCTTCTAATTTTGCATATTTATGATATAAAAATTATGGCTTTTAAAAAGCCCGTAAACCATGTTTTAATTAATATATTTTTTCTATTATTCTATTCCAATAGGTACATGAGAAATCTAATGCTATACATCTTTATTTTAAATGACAGGATCGATGCAGTAGCTGCCCAAATCAAAAGGAGACCTCACATCGTATTCATCCTGGCAGATGACTATGGGTGGAACGACATTGGATACCATGATTCATTTATACAAACTCCAAACCTTGACAGGTAGTAGAATACGAGACATTCTAAATTCAAAATGAGAAAGGTTTTCTAAATTTCAATTTTCTAAAATCAATTAAGACAACATAATTTTTGCCGCTTAAAATCCCTGGCACTGTTGCAACTAAATTTTAACGACTTGTGATCGGTTTAACTGTCCATGGTTTGAAATGAGATTTTTTTCTATTATCGAATAATTTTAAAAACATACAAACATATAACATTTTTAGATCCAGTCACTGTATTCCATGTGCTTCTGCAATAGGCTGGCATCAGAGGGAGTGAAGTTGGAGAATTACTATGTGCAGCCAATATGTAGTCCGTCAAGAGAACAACTTATGACGGGTAGATATCAGGTACCCTTTTTAACTCATTTTTTAAAACTTTAAAACCATTATTGGATTTAAAACATTTTCTTTCTAAAGGTTATTACTCTCCCTTTGTTATTTTGTTGATTGAGCAAACTCTGACAGTTTTTATCCAAAAGAGCTGATTCGACATTGCTGTTGAGTAGCTTAATTCTCCTTTTGTTTTACTAAAATAACATAAAAATTTCTTGAATTAATAATCTTAAATGTAACAAAAACTGTTTTAAAAGAACATAACACAGCAAATCAGGGCAATACAAATACACTACACTCTATGAATGTTTAAAAACAATACGAAGTAGATAATTTTTGTTAACGACCAAGTTACAATTAACTCCGCCATGTAAGATTATGACTTTTTAAGTTCCATAGATAACATAAGATGTTATGATTTTAAGTGACAAATTAAAAGTAGCAAGATGACTTAGGGAAACTGGTTGAACCTTAAAATGCAGCCTGCCATCAGCCTTTGACCGATTAAATCAGTTAATTAGTATAAATTTTTTATAAGTTTTAATCAGTCGTGTGTCTTAAAGTTCCAACGCCAACTTTTATGTCTGATAGCCTTGAAATTGTTTTTGTTAGAACAGCCAATAATGGTAGGTTAAATCTATAACTTTGTGTTGCGATGGCAACGGACATAACTTTCTGACAGACATTTATTTTAAATATCAGTAATTTCTATCATAAAAAGATTAAACATTTTTGCTTATCTAAAGATGTTAAATGAAGTCGGTGGCCAATGCATTTTTCTCCGCTATAATTTAAGTAATTTAAGGTGATTTTTTTCTTTTGTTTTTACATAAAACTTTTATAGGGGTATTTTATTACAGTAGCAAAAACCCTTTAAGACGGTTTTTTGCTGGCGGTCTATGATACTGTTAAGATCATGAATATAAAATGGTAGGTATCTCTTGGTCTCGGGAAAAAGGCACGTTAGCTTAGGCACCTAGCAGCTTGTTATGGAACTGCAGGGGGGTTCTAAAAAATCTACAAGAAAGAATAATAAAACAAGTGCTTTTGGAAAAAGCTGCCATTTTCGCCGCAATGAAAAGGCTTACAGTTTTTACGAACTGGTGGATGGTTGAGGAGTATATGGTGGTGGAACGTACCGTAGTGCAATGCAGTCTATCATTTTCCCCATCCTAGCTTTTCATTGTACCTAAGTTATATAAATGGTTCTAGTTCTCATTAATATTGTATATATAATGATAGAACATGCACTTGTATATTTCAACTCTTTAAAACATTACAAAACTTTAGTATATAACAGTTAAAAACCTGTTTTCTCACTTTTTAAGAGTCTTATTAACAGAATAATGAGACACAAAAGTACATTTTAACTTAAGTAAATGATTTTATTCAAAATCTCTTCGATGGCTTTGTCCCCAACATGCAAGTTTATAAACCTTGTGACATTTAACAATGAAAAAATACTCGAAGAAAAAAAACTATTTTTCAAAATTCAAGATTGATGATCCAAGATGGCGGATAGGTAATATATGCATGACGTCACCGGTGTTGCTATGGGCAACATAAGACTTAGTACACCCTAATATTCTGTCATAAACGCTTTTGGTAAAGTTATGTTGTATACCATTTAGTTTTCAGGGAATAGCCTATCTAGACGGTTTTGGCCAATAAAATCACATTAATGACGTCATAATGACGTCATATTACGTCATAACGACATAAAAATTGCAGATATGATAAATTTTTACTAGTACACTATCCGCTGAAAATTTGGTGGTCATACGACATACCGTTCGCGAGTTCTGAGGGGGGGGTCAAAAGAGCCCCCGGTCCCACCATGCTCAAAAAAGCCCGGTCTAGATAGGGTTTTAAGGCGGCTGCGGCCTTATCTCTGCACAAATATTACCAATATGTTGTACAAAACCTTTGCTTTACCGCTACTTGAATACTGTGATGTGGTCTGGGACAACTGTAGCGCAACCAACTAGCAACGACTACAGATTCTACAGAACCGGGCTGCAAGAATCATTCTCAGACGTGAATCGAGATCAAATGTGGGGGAACTGCACCAAGCACTTGGATGGAGTCAACTGCAGGAACGAAGAACACGCCACGTTTGTGTCATGGTGTACAAATGTCTCCATGGATTAGCCCCGAGCTATCTACTGAACACGTTCAATTATAATAACCAAATCCGAAACTACCACACTAGACAATCATGCCTCCTGCACAGACCCAACTACACTTCAAAAGCAGGACAACGTACCTTTGCGTACAGGGCAGCAGTAACATACAACTCACTAAAATGTAACTTAAAACAAGCACTCACACTTAAAGCCTTTAAAGGCAGACTAATATCGGAACCCATCTTACACCTGACTACCTAATGACGATCTCGACAACCTTGATTTAACTATGTTTATTGATTTGTTTGATTTGTTTATATGATTCATTATTCTTATTTTCAATTATTACTACTATGTTCATTCTTATTTTCAATTATTACTACTATATTACCATTTCCTAAGTTACTCGGAATTTGACCTCTGGCCCACCAAAGACCACTGACCGAATGTTATTTAATTTATGTTATATTATCATTTCTGTATTCTTGTTTGCATTATATTCTTGTTTATTTATTATGGGCTGTCTTGGAAATCAGCCCCTCGGGGCTGAAGAGACTATCCATATGTTGTTAAGATAAATAAATAAATAAATAAATATCATGTTACCATCCAAAATACTAGTAAATAATGCAACCCTTTGTTTCGCTGTATTCGGGGTTGTGTTGCTTCTTACGACAGGAAATTTATGAATGATAAAAAATTATTATGATCTATTGTACTTATTATATCACTATAACAGCATGCCAAACAAATTGTGTGTTCTGGTATTGATGTATTTCTAATCATTTTAATGTGAACATTATTTTTTTAAATCTTTTTTTTTAACTTTGAATTAATCATGAACCCGTCTTCGATGTTCCCTTAGATTCGCTATGGATTACAGCATAGTGTTATCACGCACGACCGCCCCCATGGTCTCCCGTTGGATGAAGTAACACTGGCACAGAAACTAAAGGACAGCGGTTATTCAACCTACATTGTCGGCAAATGGCATCTGGGTTTCTTTGAAAAAGGATATCTACCCCTGGCGCGAGGCTTTGATAGATTTTACGGTAAAGGGCAAAATTTAGAAATTTCTTATTATATGCAAAGGTCACTTTTTTTCCTATTCTCTAGCAAAATTGAATAAGGGCTAAGTTTTAAAAATGTGTAAAACTGCCAAAATATTTTTGATTTGGTGGCATTTGATGTCTTTCTAAATAGTTTATGGTGAATAAGTAAATTTTAATCATATTTGGTAGGTCGTCACTTATTTAAGAAATGATTAGGTTTTTAACCCCCTGTGGCATTACGTGAGCAGAGGTTCCATTTTTTATATCTCGTGTTCAACTATTTACCTCAAAATATTAACATTGATAACAATACCAAAGCACACAGAGCAGAGATAAATTACAAAAAAAGCGATTTAGGCTAAATATGCTTTATACGAAATAGATATTACGTACTTAGTGTACAGGTACCTTAAAATATCTACACAATAATCTGCACACCGTTAGGATGCAGTGAATAAATCAGTTTCCATTACGGTTTTAGGGCTCTAGGAATAAAAGGCAGTTCATGTCTTTTGGTTTCGCTCTTATTTCCTCGGAAGCAACCCTCACGCCGTAGACTAGTGGTTGACACACAGTGGGAGGATGAACTCATTTAGTGGAGAATTGTTTTCCTGAAGAATGTCCTGTAATGAGATACCCGAAACGGGATTTTGTGGATCTAGGAATAACGGACTTGATAGTGTTGCTATGGATTACGAGTTCCTCAGATCCGAAGATACCAGAATCAGAATTCTGCTGATCTCCCTTTCACACACAAATCCGAAAAAAGATCCCAGAAGTGGACTCGCTTTCACAGATTTCAAAATATACCGTAAACGGAATTTGGCAGATATCGGACTTTTCAATTGCCACTGCTTTATGGATTACGAGTCCCTTAGATCAGAAGATACTAAAATCATCATTCGCTGATCTTGCTTTTACAAACTGCACGAAATCTGAAATTTATCAAACTCACCATGGGTAAAACTATGGTTCCGAGTTTAAACAATCTGCAACCCTTGTACTAGTAAATGGAGTGCTTAACCCTCAACAGAACACCTTCCTGGACTGATTAATCTGTACACCTGGGGTCCGCGCGGACCCCAAAACAGTTTTTTTGCTAATTTTTAGAAATTATCAACATGATACAAGCTCAATTGCTTTGCAAATTGATGTGTGAACCTCTGAGTCCACATTACGTACAAAAATCATACATTTTGACCTTTTCCTATTTTTTGGTGAAGAAAAGACAAAAAGGTGAAATACCCGATTTTTGAACCCTATTAATATTCAGACCGAGTGGTCTTTTGAGGCCCGCGCCAACTTAAATCTCAAATAGCGCCTGAACGGCTTCAGCTAGAACCATGAAATTTGGTTGACACTTCTAAAATGTATCTGGAAAAAAAATCATTTAAGTTAATAAGTTAATGATTTTTTTGTGTTGCCATGGCAACGGGTTTCTGACAGTTTTATCGGAACAATCAGTAATTTTGGTTTAAACATTAAAATTTTCTGGCTTTTATATTAAAAAAACTGTTCCTTTCTGACATTAATAACATCTTACATGATTAACGATGTTACATCATTTAATATTAATAATATATGGTAATTTGATGACGTCATTGGTCAAAATCCAAGATGGCGGACCATATTATTAGCTCTGACGTCATATGACGTCATAATTACACAAAAGGTGTCAGAATTTAATTCTATTATTACACCATTCTCTGAAAAGTCGGTGGCCATAAGATAAGTGTATGATTACGATCAAAAGCCGGCTGGGGTCCGCGCGGACCCCAAAAGAAAATCAAATATAACAATTTTTAGAAATGGGGGAAACTGAGTTTTTTGTACTGTATTGAGGGACAACTTTGTGGGTTACAATTACCTGAAATTTTAGAAAAAAATCTTAAGAAACAAATAAAAAATATATTACAGAATATATAGTGCTGGGGACCCCAGGTGTACTGTTTTGGGTTAATACATACTTTTTGAGTAATGCAAGACACCAAGGTCTCAATGATACCTCTAATTGGCCAGGTAGTGTGTTGGTGGTTAGAATGGAAATCGTTAGGAAAGTTGGCTTGAAAGCCGTGGAGAACTAAAGAGAAATCAGATGTTTACATCACTTTTTCAGGGATACCATGGTGACATAATCAGTTTATCATGATCGGCAAGCGAGTGTCAATGAGAGTCATAGAGGCTTGAGAGTAAATGGGGATGTGATGTAAATAAAGAGGGTAACTGGCTCAGTGGCCCTCTTTCCACATCGAAGTCTGAAAAAGTCCATTTGTTAGGGGAGGATGCATGGATTGCTAAATGTTGACTTCAGTCTATAGTATATTCTTGGGGATTTTTTAAGAGAGCTTGACCTTTAAACTAACTCAATATGATTCGTGTATGCAGATAATTGTAAAGACATTGCTCACTCGTAGGGGCCAACTTTGGACAAACATTTTTATGGGTTCACTACACCACGAAGTGAAGTGGTGTGGTGAAACCATATTGCTTTTTCTGATGTTTCTTCTTCTTCTTCTCCTCCTCCTCCTTCTCCTCCTGCCATTTTTTAAATGGATTCAGCTTCTTCATTTTAGGGCCCAAGGTCCTGAAATTTGGTATGGAGGTACAGTGGGCAAATACCCCTAGGCGTTTTTTAAATTATTGTGATACAGGCTTTTAGAATGGTTTTATTTGAGTTTTTTGGCTGTATTATAGCAAATGTATTACTGTGTCAGTGGGCAGTGTTAACCACATTTGGCATGAGTCATCACAATGGAATGCAGGGCATCAACCAATAGGCATGCAGCTTTCCTCTCTTCTTCTTGCTGATTGGCTGTTGGGATTTAACTTGATTAACACCTGCACAGACCATTTCCACCTGCACAGAGCATTTCTGTATTCAAGTGTTTTGGTAGGTATTTCAAGCTTTCCTGCTCCAGCATTGGAATGCGGGGCATGAACGTTTTTTTATTTATTTTGAAAATCAACAGTTTGCATTATGCAATTAAAAATCCTAACCAATAAAGTAGGAAATAGCTATCCAACTGTTGTTTTAGTTGTATGTTACTTCATATTATAGTTATATCAATGTAAATCATTGTTTTCCCTTGTGTTTCTCATTCTTTCCCTGCCATGACGTCGTAAAATGTGGTGAACCCATCGCTGTATTTGCTCCAAAGCAAATATTGGCCTTTCTAGTTGTTACAGTTTTTTTTTATTTGTGTATGAATGTATCCCAAATGTAAGGACAAAACTTACTGTTAGGGGTAATTTGAAGAGGAATGTTTGATACAGTTTTTGTTAATTCACTATGATTTGTGTATTACTTTATACCTCGAGTGTAATGGGGATAGCTCTTGGGCTGAAATGTTTGTTAGATTTTTTGTTATTGCGAGTGTTAACCAATTATGTGGATAACTATGTACCTCAACTGTAAGGGTATAGCTTCCCTCTTAGGGGGTAATTGTACAGGATACGTTTCAGGCTGTGCATTGGTAATAAACAATTTTATCAGTTACATGACCTCATATTAAGCCGTTACGTATTTGAACATATCCTGAATCGGAATATGGTTAAGCTTTTTAAAAGTATATCCTGAATATGGCAAATATCGTTTCGTCGGATTTTAAATTTATGACTTTTTCCCGATGCTTTGTGTTTGCCTTAACTATATTCTATTTTTTATCTTGCTTGTACCCGAAAAAAACTCAGGGAAAATCATGGTATATATTTGTCAGGATTCAAGGTAATTTCTGTATGTATACGGAAAAAAATTGGAACGTATCCTGTGTGGAATACTACAAGAATCCTGTTTTCCGGATTTGTGCACCAAAAAGGCCACCAATGTTTCGGAGTTTTGACGGATTCAATTCCGATCCGCCATTGTCCGAAAAAATACAGGAAACTCCCAGTACTTATTTGCATGAACTTATAACCGTAAAAATTAAGAACCATAGACGTTATCAACCAAAGTTCTGCTGCAGCACCATGAAAAGCCGAAAGAAATCTCATAAAAATAAAAATATTTTATTGGTCACATATGAAAAGCCAAATGGGTCCACCGTTTTCTTCTCGAGTTTTGCTTTATGTAAACAACACAAACAGCTTGTAAAATAATGTTTTTGGCGAAAGTAACCACGTATTACTTTAGGTTTCTTAACAGGTGGGGAAGACTACTGGTCTCATAGAAGGCCTAATATCTATTCAAAGGACCCTTCAGAGTATCGAGGGTTGGATCTACGTGTCCAGGATGAACCTGTTCTGGATCAAAATGGAACATATTCAACACATTTATTCGCTTCAAAGGCCGCTGAGATTATTGGTCATCATGACCAAAACAAGGTATCGTCTGTACATTATTCTGAAACCCTCGTGTATGTGTACTTTTGATGTCACTAATAATGACAACAAGGGTTCCGAGATCTCATACCTCCATGAAATATGGGCTTGATATGTAAATGTAAATTTATTCTTTAATTATGCAAATAACCTAGCCTCCTTCGCAGAATTGTTGGGCGTCGGCGTTATTTTTTCTGTGAGCGACGCGAGTAATATGCCGCCGCGAGGGACGATTTGCTGCCGAGGGAGTTTTTGCCGGGAAGAGAAGGTTTTGCGCTCCAACAAGACTGCTTCCATTCGGCGACTAAAAAGGGCTATTAAAAACACTTATGAGCGATTGGCATGGATGTGTGAATTTCCTACAATTAACGCCACCAGTGTAGGGAGGTGTTAATGCCCCGTTGCTCGACGAGCCAAAACTTGCAACTTTCTTTTAAACGGGCGGCCGATCAACCCGTCGATCAACCCAACCATTCTCAAAAACCGAGCCCTATTCACTCAACAAAATTTCCTAGTCATTGCTGCTACGAAAAACAACTTTAAACAGATCACTGCCACAGGAAGCCGCAAGCTAAACTGTGATATTGCTGGGGGACGTGGACAGATAAACAAAGTGCCGCCATCTTGTTTGGTGGCGGGTTGATCTCACTGGTCATGGGAGGGTAACGCACCACGCCGCAGCAAGTTGCGTCATAGAAAGAATGGCATATCTCAACAGCAAAAATAGTACTGCAAAGTTTGTCTTGGTTTGTTTGCATGGGACGCTTAAATATGCACAGCAATGCCTTTGTTGTAACGTTACCAACGTTCACTCTTTCTCTGTTGGAACCTTCCGCTATAGTAACACAAGCTAATAAAACCAACCGTTGACAAAGTCGAGCGCGTGTCAGCCTTCTCCGTGCGTATCTGTGAATTACCCTTGCGCGAACATGTGGATTGCCCCTGCACGAACATGTGAATTGCCCCAGCGCAAACATGTTAATAGCCTCTATGAAAGGCTAGCCTAATCCGAGGTCCTTTTTAGTCGCCGACTGGAAGCAGACTTGTTGGAGCGCGAATCCTTCTCTCCGCGGCAAAAACTCCCTCGGCAGCAAATCGTCCCTCGCGGCGGCATATTACTCGCGTCGCTTACAGAAAAAAATTACGCCGACTCCCAACAAGACTGCGAAGGAGGCTACAAATGACCTCTGCATTAACATAATATATGCATCGTGATGTTAACTTTTGATAACTTACAGATGTCCCAATTCCCATCATTCACCACTAAGAAATCGTAGTATATTCACATTACGTCGATGAAGGTTAGACATCCAGGTAATACGATACGCCAAAAAGCAGTTTACTCAAGCAACTAGATATGATTTTGAAAACGTCAGACGTTTCAGCTAGTATCCACTAGCTTTCGTCAGTGATTGAGAGACCAGAGGGGAAATGCAAGATTATAAGCACAACCTATTGATTGATATGCAAATAAAGTGAAGACAAATTTTTGGAAGTCGAAAATGGAACAAAAGTCAGACAATTCAAGACAAGATAAAGCAAATTAGTCAGAAAGCTCCTGTTATACAGAACAGTTGCTTAAGTGTTGTCTGTCCTCGGGGCTGGGAGTGCAAAATCCCAAGTGCCGGAAAGATTGACTCGTAGCCTCCCTTCCCTGTTGAGGGTGGGGTTGTACATTCTTTCATATATTGCCTCTTTAACACCCCGTTCCCACCAGCGTGTTTCGCGGTCTAAGATATCCGTGGACTCGAGTTTGAAAGAGTGACCCTGGTTGTGTTGTAGGTGGTGGAAAATAGCTGAGGAGTCGCCGTCGGCAATGTTCTTTGTATCTTACTTTGAGCGGTCGACTTGTCTCTCCGATGTAGGTGTTGTTACTCCGTGAAGGATGTCAGGACCTCCGGACGGAGTGTTGTGAAGAGCCGTTTTTTCGTGTTCGCAGTCAAAACACTGGGTTCTCTTTGTGTAACCGGCACGCAATTTTATACGCCGTCTGTGGGCATGCCCGTGTTGATGCACGAATGTGTATTTTTGCCGTTGCTGCTTTCGCGGTTAATGTAATATTGCAGATGCACCACTACAATTATGAGGCAAATTGGAATGGTCCTGAAAAACGCGTTGTTTGGAATAGCAATGGGGGTGGAACTTCAGACAGATATGGTGAGGGGCCGATAAGTGGTCCCAGATGTTTTTGGCCGTCCTTAAGAGATGGTAAGTTTTTTTTGGAAGATGTTCGCAGCCAAAACGCATTCTTCCGTACGTAGCATTTCTGTGTAATTGGGCATGTGGTGTGCCATTATGTCCGTGATGATGCACGTCTTTTTATTTTCACCGTAGCAGTTTTGATATTGAAGTAAATGCATATTTTAGAAACATCCCTACCTTTACAATCTTGTGGAATAGGCCGTAGGTTTAGGCAGTTGTCTGTTAGCAGAGGTTCTCTAAGCAGATATTAGGTGGCTGTTGTGCATAATGGTGGCGAGTATTTTTTTGGAATTGTGGTTTGCACCTACTGCGATACCTTGTCAAATGAATAATATGTAGTAAATGAAAGATATTGTTATGAAATCAGACTTTGTTCATCTATTTAGATTGTCGTGTTGTTGATTTTATCTTGCCTGTGTTTACACTAGTTAGTCTGCAACTGTTTCCCCAAGGGGGCGGCAAACCACTGGGCAGGCGGTAGTAACACTCGTGGTGCTGGCCGCAACTGTTGCCTGGCCAGTCGCGCTTAATAAGTAACAGGGCCGGTAAGACGGTGGGGTTGTATTTGTTACTAGTGCCATGACAATGATAGTCCGATCTTTATGTGAATGCGATGATTGTGTGTGTGTAATTAAAATGAACTTCGAACTTGAAGCGCAGTATCTTTACACGCCCTTGGAGCAGTAATGGGTTTGGGTCTTTGTATGTTTATGGTTGTAAAAGCGCCCTCATTGTATTAATTAACCGTTGCCTTATGTCTGCTCAGTAGGTCTGGCGTTGACGCTTGGAATTATTTTTGTTGCAAAATATAAAACTTCACGGAGGATTGTCACCTATGGCTTCTTGTTACAATTGGGCTCCTCACATTTGAGTCTGTAAATAACATTCGCCTTGGTACCTTTGTGAGGTCGGTCCTTAGGGTGTACCAGTCTTTGTCTGAGGGTTGAGTGAGGTTTGAAGTAAGTGGCTATGTTGAAGTTTTGGAAGATCTTAGATACTCCTTGGACATACGGAATAGTGATGTTGACCTTGTTTTTGTTTGAAAGAGTGACCACAACCAGGATATCTTAGACCGCGAAACACACTGGTGGGAACGGGGTGTTAAAGAGGCAATATATGAAAGAATGCACAACCCCACCCTCAACAGGGCAGGGTGACTACGAGTAGTTCTTTCCGGCACTTGGGATTTGGCACTCCCAGCCCCGAGGACAGGCAACACTTAAGCTCCTGTTCTGTATAACAGGAGCTTTCTGACTAATTTGCATTATCTTGTCTTGAATTGTCTGACTTTTGTTCCATTTTCGACTTCCGACAACTTTTCTTCTCTTTATTTGCATATCAATCAATAGGTTGTGCTTATAAACCTGCATTACCCCTCTGGTGTCTCAGTCACTGACGAAAGCTAGTGGATACTAGCTGAAACGTCTGACCGTTTCCAAAATCATATCCAGTTGCTTGAGTAACTAATTTTTGGCGTGTTGTTCAGAGTTCAATGAGTATTTCAATCAAGGCAGGCCTGTAGCGTTTTGACCCCGAAGGCTGCTGGTACTGGTCGGAGTTAGGCAGGTTTCTGCTGAGAGTTTGGTGTTGGCTTCCTTTTTCGACTTCCAAAAAATTGTCTTTACTTTATTTGCATATCAATCAATAGGTTGTGCTTATAAACCTGCATTTTCCCTCTGGTCTCTCAGTCACTGACGAAAGCTAGTGGATACTAGCTGAAACGTCTGACGTTTTCAAAATCATATCCAGTTGCTTGAGTAACTGCTTTTTGGCGTATATTCGCATTATTTATACAAATTAGATCATCATTTGCATAATTAGTATCTGTTGATGTTCCATCTGCCATAGGTTACATACATTACATGTATGAAAGTACTATAATGTAAAACACTGTAATTATAGAATTTTCTCATTAATTATGCAAATAAACTCCTAATTTGCATAATTTGCTTTTAATTATGTACATCTCTCTCTCTCAGCTACCTACCTACCAAAAATGATGAAAATACGTTGTTCCTATCTAGACTTATTGGCTTTCAAAGATTTCGCCCGAAGGTCCCTGCAGTTGCAGAACAAGTTGCTAGGGGGACTAAACCCACACCACGTATTCCTGACAGGAAACGGTATATGTCATCAAAAAGACCATAGCATGTTCAGGACAAAAGATACAAAAACCGGAAGTTCTGCTGCAGTGCCAAGGTCATCTACCCGGAGGCCCATATTTGACCTTGACCTTTGTCTTTCTAAGACTTACCAGCATACCAAATATCATCACAATCCATAAAGGCGTTATGAAGTTATGCTGACTACAAATGTACGTAAACACCAACACACACACAGACAGACACACACAGACAGACACACACACACACACACACACACACACACAGACGCGCCAAAAACAACACCTCCATTTTTCTTGGAGGTAATGACAAAACACGGCGGTCTGTCACTACGCTATTCTTTCCCATTGCTTGGCGCGTTCGAAAAGGTATCGTTTACAAGACGTATTTTGGCCTGTTTTGGACTACCAGTAAAACACTTGAAAGTAAACAAAAAGGATTTAATGGTAAATTTCGTCAAATTAAAATGAAATTATCGTCTTAACATCCTTTTTAATATTAGCTGTTCATGTTAAATCATTAATTTTGTTAAATTTCGCTCCCAAAGACGATTATTTTCGGGTTTCCGACCACAAGTCATGTCATGTTTTAGGCAAACATCGTTTAACCTGCCTACGTGTATTACCCCAGATCCCCGATTTTTATATTTTTCGAAAATCGTGCTTTCGAGTTTTTGTCGACATATTGGTGAACAAATGCATTTTTTTAAATTTTTCGCACTAAATTACCCATAATTCAAAATTAAGGCCATTTTTCAAAAATCCCTAAAACACGATTTTCGGAACAACCTTTACGGTCATTTTGAGCCGTGAATCGCACTCTCCATACTTGCAGGTTTAAACGAGTTTTGCAGACATGTAATGTCAACCAAAAGTCTGTATTGTGTTATTCATACTGGCGTAAAGAATCATTATAGTAATCAATCAAGGTCACCCAAGGAATTCGACAGTAGCTTCGCTACATGTTACATATTCACAAATAAATGACAGAGGACATGTGCTGTCCTGGAAACTGTTTGTATCCATAGAAAAGTGTTTTTTTTTAATCTGTTGCAAGTCACTGAGGCAGAAAGGCTTGTTTTGCCGCTTTATTGTAAATGACCGCAAGTGACCCCGATATAGAACGCGTGTTCAATTCGAATTCCCCAGATCGAACACGATCGAACACAGTTCGGGTTCTATGAAATGTGGGAACTTTTCGGCCCAGATTTTACCACCGTGAAAAATGGAAACAAAAGCTATATTGAAAATCGTGTTTACTATGCATTTGTTCTAAGCAATGATATAAACCAGCATGGCAGTTTAAAACTGAAAATTTCTATTTCTTTTTCTTTTTCTCCAATAGCCTATGTTTCTATATTTATCCTTTCAAGCAGTGCATGCACCTCTTCAAGTACCAGACGTGTATGTTGAAAGGTACAAGAATTTTGGGAGCATTTCTGTACAAAAGTATGCTGCCATGGTGACAGCTATGGACGAGGCAGTTGGAAATGTGACAAATGCTCTAAAAGTTACTGGGCTCTGGGACAACACTGTACTAATATTTTCCACTGGTGAGTAACGGGATTTACGGATTAAAAATACGTTGTTGGTAATTAAGTTCGTTTACAAAATATTGGTAATAGAGTGGGGTATGACGGATTTTTTTTCAAATCTTTAAAAGTTAAATCCCATTCACATCGGGCTTTCCGAACCACACTGTGGCGGAAATGGGGCAGTGACGTCATCCCCTGTTAACTTTCAAACTGCTAATGGCCAGCAAATATTTCTAGATGGTGTTTTCTTTCTAAAAGGGGTTATGATATAAAATCTTTATTATCTCCTTTACTTTAGACAATGATATTATATTTTTATTATCTCCTTTACTTTAGACAATGGTGCAAGAAGAGGTGCCGGTAGTAACTGGCCATTAAGAGGCTGGAAGAATACGTTATGGGAGGGAGGAATACGTGGTGTCTGTTTTGTAACCAGCAAGCTTCTTGAAATAAAAAGAAGGACAAGCAACGCCCTCATCCACATCTCTGACTGGTTCCCTACACTTGTTCATATTTCACAAGGATCCACTTACGACACGAAGCCTTTAGATGGCTTTGATGTGTGGAATTCTATAAGGTACATACATACATGTCGAGCACGTTCTCTCCTTAGGCCATACCAAGAAATTTTGCATGAATGACGTCAACACTCGGATTGAGTTTGGCCTGTTTGTTGAAAAATACGTTGTAACGAACAATATGTTGGTTGTTACACTGTGTTACATCATTTTATGTGTGTTTTAGAATGTATTGTCTGTTTGCTTATTTCAAATCCAACGTTAGGCATCTTGTTTCGGACCTTTTTGTTTTATTTCACTCTATCGCATTAGTTTTAGGGTCACCTGAAAACGTCATCCATATAAATTATTTGGTTTAGTCTTACTTAATATTCTAGCTAAATATTAATGTACAAGCGTACCTTAAGCGTACTCTTATGTTACCCCCGTATTTTAGGCATCTGAAAGAGTATCGTGTCTTACTTAGCTAGTCCTCTACCAATGTCAACACGATGGAAGTCTGAAGTCTGGTAAAGGACGTTATCCCTATCTAGATGGGGGGGGGGGCTAAAAGTACCCGCGCCAACTTTAATGTCACGTAGCGTCTAAACGGCTAGCGCTAGAACAACCAAACTTAGTGATTTTTTCTAAAATAGTGTTGGCAACAATTCTGAATCATTGGATCTACATAATAATTTTTTGTGTTGCCATGGCAACGGGTTTCTGGCAGGCAGTTTTTGCTAAATTTAGTAATTTTAGTTTCAACAATAGAATTTTATGGGTTTTATGTCATGTTACACATGGTTTCTAATATCAATAACATCCCATATAAGTTTATGTAAATTTTATAATTAAAAATGCATAATTTATGCTAATTTGATGACGTCATTGGCCAAAATCCAACATGGCGGACCATATCATTAGAACAGGTATACACAGGTTATTTTCTTTAAAATTTCATAAAAGGTTCATTTGAAATTTGGTATGGGGATACCTTGGATATATGTCTACAAAACCTCATTCAAGCTTTTGACATACACCACTTTAAAATTGTGAAAAATTGACATTTTTGGCTCCTTTGGCCTAATATCAAATTTGGGACTTTTTGACCGTTTTTAGGTCACAATTTATGATGTAGTTGGGGATGACTATCCATGAGTCATCAGTTTGGCATGCAGAAAAAGAACCAAAAGGCATGCAGCTTTTCTCTAATCTTGTTGCTGATTGGCTGTTGGAATTTGATTGAGTTAACTCCATGGACATTTGCATGCCATATTAAAAGTGTTACATTGAAGTGTTTGGTAGGTATGTCAAACGTTCCTGCTCCAGCATTGGAATGTGGGGCATGAACGCTTTTTTATCTTGAAAATCAACATTTTGCATTATGCAGATAAAAATACTAATCAATAATGTAGAAGATAGCTATCCAACTGTTGTATTCGTAGTTATATGTCACTTCATACTATAGTTATATTGATGTAAAACATTGTTTCCCTTGTATTCTCCTTCTTTTCCTGCCATGTCGTAAAATGCGGTGGAGCCATGCTGACTTTGCTCCAAAGCAAATATCGGCCTTTCTAGTTTTTAGATTTTTTACTGTGTATTGCTGTATCGATTTTTTACTGTATATTTTACTGTGTATCGATATTTACTGTATATACTGGGAGATTAGGAATATTCAATACTTCCACTTTAGTTATTGGTTTTAAATCTTGAATGATATGTTTGCATTTTTTAGCAAGGGAACACCTTCTCCGAGAAAGGAGATACTTCACAACATTGACCCTTTGAAATGTTCAAAGGGATTTTCCTGTTCAAGCTCTGGAAATGACAGCGTTTTTAACACCCTTACGTATGCTGCTATCCGATCAAGAGACTGGAAGTTATTGACAGGATATCAAGGTTTGTTGAAAATGGCCTTTATATTTTAATCTAACTTCCAGGTTCAAAGTTAACTTAAATCATTAATCACCAATTGCGATGACCACCGAAAGAGCCACCAAGTGAGCGTAGGGAACGAGGTGGCTTATGAGGTGCATATTTCACCTGACTAGGGATTAATTATATCACCATATACACTGAGGATAAGGCAGGGCATTAACGTTCTATCTCCAGATCCGCCTTCGATATCTCTTTTAAGTAGAACTGATGTACGCCAAAAAAAACTCCCACAATCTATGTTACGTAAAAGAAAATAGCATTTTGACACAAATACAGATTTTCTGCAGTAGCCTTTTGGCATTGCAGCAGTACAACTTTTAATAAGAGTGGCACCAATTATGTCAACATTACTTCGGTTTAAATTACGTTTTAATTTTTTCATTGTGTTTCATTTTTAAAGAATGATTAAAAAAAACTACACTACTTTTTTTATAGATACTACAAGTATTAACACTGCTGTTGATGTCATGTCTACTGTTACTCTAATAACCGACCACTTTTAAGGTTATGACGTGATAGCCCATGGTAAATGGAGCCTCCTGATGTTGTTTTTATCAATAAATTTACATGATGCTAACTTCATAACGTCATTAGTCAAAATCCAAAATGGCGAACCATATCCCGGATACATTCATTAAGATTTCATCACTACTTAAGAAGTTTTCAAAAACAATAATTATATGCCACCCGAAATTTGGGAAGCACACTCGAATTATTTAGCTGGACGCCAACCAGTTGGGAGCAGTAAGTCCCAAATAAAGTCTTGTTCACAGCAAAAGAATAGTGGTAAAATTTCCTATTTATACAATTGGTATTGCGTTAAAACGTCTTATTTCAGCTCGAACAAAACAATTGTTACTTAACTTGGTATTTAAACAGATGCCAAGATAAACATAAGTATCAACATATTTCAAATGTACGTTGTAAAGCTTTACAAAAGCCAGTGGTTGCTGGAGCGGGAGTCCCGTGTTAGGAAAGTACATGCAACAAGTTTTATCAGCATTGTACAGAATATCATTTTCCTGGCAAACATTTCACGAATCCCAACCAGTTTATGCAGGGATTTTACACTAGGATTAATCAAATATCATTAGCGTGTAGGAGATGGTTCATAACAAAACTGCCCATACATTAACCCTATCTAGACCAGACTTTTTTCGGTTGTGTGTCTCATTTGCCCCACCCCCAGAACTCGCGAACGGTATATCATATGACCACTAAATTGTCAGACAGAAAATGGTGTACTTGTAAAAAAACAATTTTTCATGTCGTTATTACTTAATGTGACGTCATTATGACGTCATTAACGTAAAATTATTGGCCAAACCGTATAGATAGGTTATTCCCTATAAACTCTATGGTATACAACATAACTTTAACAAAAAGTGTTTATGATAAAATATTAGGGTGCACTAAGACGTATGTGGCCAATAGTTTATTGTTTTCTAAATTTAAATGACAATATTTTTCGTGTAAAATTCCTATTCTTTGTCAAACTTCATTTCAACATGCCCTCAATAATTATGCAAATGCCCTTACATTAACATTATATGTATATATATATATATATATATATATATATATATATATATATATATATATATATATATATATATA